GAGGGGAGAGGAGAGGAGAGGAGAGGAGAGGAGAGGAGAGGAGATGTGTGAGGGCAGATATATATATCATATATAAATATTTATATAATAAATATTATATATAAATGTAAATATATTATTATATATAATATAATATTATTTATATAATAAACATTATATATATTTATATATATATATAAAGGACAGTCAGTGGCCCCCAAACCAAAGGACAGTCCCCAAGCCCTAAAGGACACTTGGTGGTCCCCAAGCCCTAAAGGACACTCAGTGGTCCCCAAACCCCAAAGGACAGTCCCGAAGCCCTAAAGGACACCTGGTGGTCCCCAAGCCCCAAAGGATGGTGCCCAAGCCCTAAAGGACACTCGGTGGTCCCCAAGCCCCAAAGGATGGTCCCCAAGCCCCAAAGGACAGTCTCCAAGCTCTAAAGGACACTTGGTGGCCCCCAAGCCCTAAAGGACACTCAGTGGTCCCCAAGCCCCAAAGGATGGTCCCCAAGCCCTAAAGGACACTCGGTGGTCCCCAAGCCCTAAAGGATGGTCCCCAAGCCCTAAAGGACACTTGGTGGTCCCCAAACCCCAAAGGATGGTCCCCAAGCCCTAAAGGACACTCGGTGGTCCCCAAGCCCTAAAGGACACTTGGTGGTCCCCAAGCCCTAAAGGACACTCAGTGGTCCCCAAACCCCAAAGGACAGTCCCGAAGCCCTAAAGGACACCTGGTGGTCCCCAAGCCCCAAAGGATGGTGCCCAAGCCCTAAAGGACACTCGGTGGTCCCCAAGCCCCAAAGGATGGTCCCCAAGCCCCAAAGGACAGTCCCCAAGCTCTAAAGGACACTTGGTGGTCCCCAAGCCCCAAAGGATGGTCCCCAAGCCCCAAAGGACAGTCTCCAAGCTCTAAAGGACACTTGGTGGCCCCCAAGCCCTAAAGGACACTCAGTGGTCCCCAAGCCCCAAAGGATGGTCCCCAAGCCCTAAAGGACACTCGGTGGTCCCCAAGCCCTAAAGGATGGTCCCCAAGCCCTAAAGGACACTTGGTGGTCCCCAAGCCCCAAAGGATGGTCCCCAAGCCCTAAAGGACACTCGGTGGTCCCCAAACCCCAAAGGATGGTCCCCAAGCCCTAAAGGACACTCAGTGGTCCCCAAACCCCAAAGGATGGTCCCCAAGCCCTAAAGGACACTCGGTGGTCCCCAAGCCCAGTTCCCCTCCAGCCTCTCCCAGCCCAGCTGTGCCCCCTTACCCTCCCCGAGCCTTCCTCCACATCAGCAGTGTTTCTTCCTCACTCCCCAGCCTGCCAGCCCGCACAGGGGACACTCCCTGTCCCCTCTGCCTGTCCCCTGCCCCCTGGCACGGCAGAGCTGGCCCATCCCGGGCGGGTACGTGCCCGGGGGCGGCTGCAGCTGAAGCCAGGCCAACATCCCCCGGCCATGTGACGTGTCCGTGGGGGGACAGTGTGTCTGTTTGTCCCCTGGGGGTGGACACAAGCAGCTGATTCTCCCGTGCCTTGCCAGACACACCCTGGCATTGTGCTGCTTTTGAAAGGAGGGAAACTGAGGCACGGGTGGCTACAGGCACTGGTGGAAACCGCTGAGCTCCTGTGCAGAGCTGGAGCCACGGGGGCTGTGGGGACAGAATTTCCTGTCCCACCATGCCTTTCCTTTCCTTCTCCTTTTCTCCTCCTTTCCTTTCCTTTCCTTTCCTTTCCTTTCCTTTCCTTTCCTTTCCTTTCCTTTCCTTTCCTTTCCTTTCCTTTCCTTTCCTTTTCCTTTCTTTCCTTTCCTTTCCTTTCCTTTCCTTTCCTTTCCTTTCCTTTCCTTTCCTTTCCTTTCCTTTCCTTTCCTTTCCTTTCCTTTGATCCCACCGTGCCTTTCCTTTCCTTTCCCTTTCCCTTTCCCTTTCCCTTTCCCTTTCCCTTTCCCTTTCCCTTTCCCTTTCCCTTTCTTTTTCCTTTTTCCTTTCCACCAGGAACACCAGCCTGACCTCAGCACAGGCTGCCCAAAAATGAGCTCCCATCTCAGCACCCAACTCCCAAAAACCCCGCTGGACCCCAAAACCCCCCCAGCCAGGACAGCCCTCAACCTGCTGCGTGATGGGGAGCTGGGACCCCTCACCTCCAGCTCCAGCCTTCCTCCAGCAGCCCTGGCAGTGCCAGGATCTTCCTCACAGCTGCAGCATTCCCGGGAGCTGCGCCAGGATCTGGCCACAGCGGCTCAGGACAAGAAGATCTCTTCGCGTTCCTCCTCCCGCGGGCTCTTGAGAGCACCCCCAGCTGTGCAGAGGAGCCAAAAAAAAGGCTTTTTAGGAGCGATTCCTGGTGGTTCCAGCCCCGGCTGCTTGAGGAGCAGCCGGGATGAGCCGCGGGTGGACGATGTCCCCTCTCAGCTCCGTTCCCCGTGCCGGTGAGCATCGCAAACAGGAAGCCTGGCGGACACCGCCACGGGAAACGTGGGAGGCCCTGAAGGTTTTGGGGAGGTGATAAAAACGACAGCAAGCTCCCGGACTAAAGTGATTTCAGCATTTATTATAAAAAAGAAAAGCCTAAAGCAAGGGGGCCCGTGGGCCGAGCAGGAGCGTTCCTGTCGAGGATGCTGCAGCGCTGGCACTGGGGTTTCTTTTCAGCAGTGATGTTCCAGGTGGAACTGCACAACTTCAGTGGGTCAGATGCCCTTTTTATCCCGTTTTTTGTCCCTTTGGATTGCTTTTTGTTGGGATCCTTCATTTCCATGAAGGTTTAAGGCGCTTGATTGGCCCTTACATTTCTGTCCAGGCTGGCTCGTTTCGCTTGGGGGTGGCGCACTTTACTTAGGTGTATAACTTCTTATAAGTACCCTTTTAACCCCTTTTACAATATAATAACCAAACTGACAGCACATGCTTAACAATTATCAACTATTTTACAACAGTTTCTAACCTATTTTTAACAGGGGGACAGCTTTCTTTAGGTGGGGGGAGCTGGGGCTGCTGGGGGGCACCACACAGCTCACCTGTGGGAATCCTTAAAATCAGAGAAAGCTGCAAAAGGCAGGCCTCAGAAACAGCAGAACTGTGATTGGAGCTAAGCAGTAGCTATAAAAATTGTCAGTGAAAAAATGATATAAGAAGTAGGAAGTAAGGACAAATAGAACAATGATCTGTGTATTAATGCTTGGATAGAAAACTCCCTGAGCTACAGAAAAGTATATCTAGCGAGATAATAGGAAGTTATAAACTTAATTAATAATAATTTAATAATAATAATTTTTTAAAATAAATAATAAATAAATAAATAATATATACAAATTAATAATTTAATAATAGACCCCTGTGCATTGCATCTTAAGGCTTACAAGCAGGTATTGTATTTGAAATAAGAAAGCATTGTTTTATCTGAAGGTGCATTGCTTATGGTGATTAGACAGAATTACTGTCAATATGCTTCTGCTTTGTGTGATTGGTCAAAAAACTTTTAAAGTGAGTTGTAACATTAAGTTCTTTGTCTACTACCAAAAATGTAAGCTACTGACACCTTCCCATGATCATAACCATGTAATAAGATTAATAGTAAAAAATAAACCTGCTCAAAACACACTCCTCAACAGTCCCATCCCGTGTGTAATTTATACAAAAACCCCCAACCAACCACACACCCCCAAAGTCAACACACAGCCAGCCCTGTCCCGGTGGATGGCTGAGCCAGGCCCTGCCCGAATCCTTGCCCTAATTCCCAATCCATGGATGCAGCGGGGCTGGCACTGCCCTCACCCCGTGTCCAGCTGGAGCCTGGCACCGCCCGGGGTGAGAGTGACAGAGGACACGTGGCACAGCCATGGCGTTGGCAGCTCGGCTGCTGATGCCCCCAGAACAGCCCAGAATGGCCCAGAATGGCCCAACACAGCCCAGAACGGCACAGCACAGCCCAGCACGGCCCAGAATAGCCCAGAACGGCCCAGCACAGCCCAGAACGGCCCAGCATGGCCCAGAATGGCCCAGCACGGCCCAGAATGGCCCAGAGCGGCCCAGAACGGCCCAGCACAGCCCAGCACAGCCCAGAGCAGCCCAGAACGGCCCAGAGCTGCCCAGAACGGCTCAGAACGGCCCAGAGCGGCCCAGCTCTGGCATCAGAGTCTGAGGAAGGGGATGGTGCTGGATTGCACCGTGCCAGGATTGAATCTGGGCTCACGGTGTGAGCCTGGGCCTGCCGAGCCTGCTGTCCCCTCTGCTGTCCCCTCCCTGCTCTGCTGTCCCCTCCCTGCTCTGCTGTCCCCTCTGCTGTCCCCTCCCTGCTCTGCTGTCCCTGTCCCCAGCAGTGGCAGGTGCCAGGATGCAGACAGCAGGGACAATGACACCTTTGCAGGCTCGCATGTGCTGCTGGCCAGGCGGCCACAGTCCCCTCCTCGCCACAGCCCAGCCTGTCCCGAGGCTGCCAGCGTCACCTGGCTGTCACCCCAGGGCCACCATGCCACCTTCCTGTGACGTTTCCCCATCACATGAAGGTTCTTGCAGCTTTGGTCGCTGCTTCCTGCCTGTGGCTGCCAGAGAGGCAGAGCACGGCAGGGCAGCGGGGCTGCCTCACCCTGCCCGTCCCTGCCTGTCCCCTGCCTGTCCCCTGCCTGTCCCCTGCCCTGCACACCCACCCAGGGACACCGAGCAGAGGTAGGAGCGTGGGCTGGGGGCTGGGGCTGGGGGCTGGCATTGCGTTTGGAGTGAGGCCAAGGAGTGAACTCCTGCAGGATGGGGAGGTGCAGGGATGTCCCCCTCTGGGGCTGGGGGCTGGCATTGGGTTTGGAGCAAGGCCAAGGAGTGAACTCCTGCAGGATGGGAGGTGCAGGGATGCACCCCTGCCCAAAGGCAGGACAAAGGGCAGGATAATGGGGTGAAGAGAGGGGGATTGGGGTCCCCTGCCCACACCAGCCCTTCCAGCCAGATCTTACCCTCTCCAAAGGGGGAAGTTGAGCCGGAAATGTCTCGCAGAGCAAAACTTTCAGCCCGTTTCAGGACTGATCTGACTTGTTCCCACCCCTCAGGAGTGCAAGTTTCAGAGACACATCCTGCCCCAGGGAGCAAATCCCCACAGGGAGCTGCCCCACAAGGCCAAAATGTTGGGATGGGGGAGCAGGGCTGAGCCCACCACCCCTGCCCAGCACCCCCACCCAGCTGGGGGATGCACAGTGAGCTGGGGACAGTGGCATTGTCCCCAGCAGCCTGGGGACCCAGGACCTGACCTGGGCAGGACCTGACCCCAGTTCTCCTTCCCAGCACTCCCCGAGCTGGGTTACTGCAGTTTGGGTGTTTTGTTTCTCTTTGTCAACACCTTCCCCTGCCTGCAGGGGTGCAGGGCCAGGCTGGGCTCTGCCGTGGGTTAAAGGTGGAGCTGGGGGGCCTTTGCTGGGTCTCCTTGCTCTCTGACAAGGTGGCTGGACCCCCTTGTTCTCAGACAAGCCTCAACCCACTCCTCTGACTCAGCTTTGCCTCCCAGATCCAAGCAGCCCCAGCATCTTCCACCCCCTCAAGCATCTGCTGGGGATTAACGTTGTTTTTCTGGGTGTTGGCAGCTCAGGGTCAAGCTCAAGGTCCCTCAGGAGCTGCTCAGCCTCTCCCTGCCCTAGCCAGGGCTGAGCCGACACACTGAGGACTTCAGAGGGGCTGGAGGATTCACATGCTCTGTCCTCAGCTCCTCCCCACCTACATCACTGTCCCCTCTTCTCCTCTGGGCTCCCAAGGTCTCTGTCCCTCCCCATCACAGGGGCTGGCGAGGATCAGGGTGCAGAGCCTGAGCTTGGGGAGCACAAGGTGAAGGTGATGGTGGGAGCAGGGCCTGTGGGGGTGTCTTGGAGACCCCAAACTCCCCAGTGCTCTTCCCAAAGGAGCCCCCCCTGCCCTGAGCCTTTTCCTCCCCACTCCCTGAGACAGGGCACTCCATGGATGACGACCGTCCCCTCTTCATCACCTTCAAGCCCCTCGCTGAGGACAGCACAGCCAGAGCCAAGCCAGCACCCACCAGCACCCCCAGCCAGCCCCAGGGGGCAGAGCAGCTGCCAGGATGTCACAGCAGGCATGGCAGGGTAGGACATGGGGACACCAGGGTGGACACGAGCCCACCTCACCCTCCCAGTGCTCACGGGCTGCACGGGGAGCAGAACGTCCTTGGTGTGTCCTCACCGGCTGTCCCCTTCCCTCCAGGTCCCTCCAGGCTTCTGGCCACCCCCAGCAGCCCAGTCCCTGCCCGAGGGGGAGCCGTGGCCGGAGCGGGTGGCCCTGCGTGCCCGCACCAGGCTCTGGTTTGAGCAGACACAAGCGCAGAGGTTGGGGCCCGAGGGGGAGCTCCCCTCGTGGTTCCACGGCTTCATCAGCCGCAGGTGAGCGAGGGGAGGCCAGGGAGGGGGACAGGGCCAGTGTCCCCTCCCCGGGGCTCCCGAACAGGGAGCTGGATCACACGGAGGGGATGAGGCTCAGTGTCCCTTCCCGCAGGGAGGCCGAGCAGCTGCTGCAGGATCAGCCCCTGGGCTGTTTCCTGGTGCGCTTCAGCGAGAGCACCGTGGGCTTCGTGCTGTCCTACAGGTGAGGCAAACCTGCAGCCTGTGCCAGGGAGGGGCCAAGCTCAGCCCCCTCCCAGCTGCTGTGCCCGTGCCGTGCCATGCCGTGCCCATGCCGTGCCATGCTGTGCCATGCCGTGCTGTGCCATGCCGTGCTGTGCCGTGCCATGCCTGTGCTCATGCCATGCCGTGCTGTGCTATGCGATGCCATGCCCTGCCATGCCATGCTATGCGATGTCATGCGATGCCATGCTGTGCCGTGCCATGCCGTGCCGTACCATGCTGTGCCATGCCATGCCATGCTGTGCTGTACCATGCTGTGCCATGCCGTGCTGTGCCGTGCCGTGCCATGCCATGCCATGCCATGCCATGCCGTGCCATCTCCCGCCAGGGGCAGGGATCGCTGCCGGCACTTTGTCCTGGACCAGCTGCCAGACGGGCGCTACGTGATCCTGGGCGAGAGCAGCGCCCACGCCGAGCTGGCCGAGCTGCTGCGGCACCACGGCACCGCCCCGGTCACACCGTACCGCGAGTTCCTCACCGTGCCCCTGCCCTGCCGGGTGAGTCCCGGCCCTGAGAGCCCTGAGAGACCCCCCAAGAACCTCCAAAAATCCGTGAAAGCCCCTGAGAGCCCCCAAGAGTCCTTGAGAGCCCCCAAGTATCTCTGAGAGCCCTCAAAAATCCCTGTGCTGTGCTGTGCCATGCTATGCCGTGCCATGCTGTGCCATGCCATGTCCATGCCATGTCGTGCTGTGCTGTGCCATGCCATGTCCATGCCATGCCGTGCCATCTCCCGCCAGGGGCAGGGATCGCTGCCGGCACTTTGTCCTGGACCAGCTGCCAGACGGGCGCTACCCGTGCCATCTCCCACCAGGGGCAGGGATCGCTGCCGGCACTTTGTCCTGGACCAGCTGCCGGACGGGCGCTACGTGATCCTGGGCGAGAGCAGCGCCCACGCCGAGCTGGCCGAGCTGCTGCGGCACCACGGCACCGCCCCGGTCACACCGTACCGCGAGTTCCTCACCGTGCCCCTGCCCTGCCGGGTGAGTCCCGGCCCTGAGAGCCCTGAGAGACCCCCCAAGAACCTCCAAAAATCCGTGAAAGCCCCTGAGAGCCCCCAAGAGTCCTTGAGAGCCCCCAAGTATCTCTGAGAGCCCTCAAAAATCCCTGTCAGCCTCCGAGAGCCCCCAAGAACCCCTGAGAGCCCCCAAGAACCCCTGAGAGTCCCTGAGAGCCCCCGAGAGCCCTCAAGAATCCCTGGGAGCCCCCAAGAGACCCTGAGAGCCCCCAAAAATCCCTCAGAGCCCCTGAGAACCCCCAAGAATCCCTGAGAGCCCCTGAGAACCCCCAAGAACTCCTGAGTCCCTGAGAGTCCCCGAGAGCCCCTAAGAGCCCCCAAGAATCCCTGGGAGCCCCCAAGAGACCCTAAGATCCCCCAAAAATCCCTGGGAGCCCCCAAGAGACCCTGAGAGCCTCCGACAGCCCCAAGAACCCTCAAGAACTCCTGAGAAACCCTGAGAGCCCCCAAAAATCCCTCAGAGCCCCCGAGAGCCCCTGAGAGCCCCCGATAGCCCCAAGAACCCTCAAGAACTCCTGAGAACCCCTGAGAGCCCCCAAGAATCCCCGAGAGCCCCTGAAAGCCCCCGCAGCCAAGGGAGATGGCAAAATCCCCCTCCTGCAAAATCGGAGGATTTTCCCAGGCTGGGGAATACAGGCAAGGGAAATCCAAGCATCACAAAAGCCAGGGCTGGAAGCCACCCTGGCTAGGCAGGAGCAAGGAGCCAGCACCTGGCTGGGTGTGCCCTGGCCACGCACCCATCCTGTCCTTGTGCTCCCCAGGACAAGGGAAGAGATGAGAATCTTGACTCCATGTTTCAGAAGGCTCATTATATTATATTATATTATATTATATTATATTATATTATATTATATTATATTATATTATATTATATTATATTATATTTGCTATACTAAAAAAAATAGAGAAATGATACAGACAGAAAGCTAGAAAGGAATGAATAATAAAAACCCGTGATTCTCAGAGCCTTGACACAGCTGGTTGGGCATCAAGTAAAAACAACTCACATGGATCAAAGATGCACCTGTTGCATTCATTCCACAGCAGCAGATAATTATTGTTTTTCTTTTCCTCTGAGGCTTCTCAGCTTCTCAGGAGAAAAAATCCTAGCAAAGGGATTTTCATAAAATATCACAGTGACACCCATCCCGACACGTCTCTGCTCTCCCCGCAGAAAGAGGAGCCCCGAGGGCGGGCACAGCCCCCGGCTGGCGGTGCTGCTGCACATTCCCCACCGAGCCAAGCACCGGCCAAGCTCCCGGAGTCCAGCCCCGCGTCCCTGGAGTGCCCCAGAGCCGAGGGCGGCTCCGCCAGGGAGGTAACGGGGCAGGGGGATGGAGGAAATTCCCAAGCACAGGATGGGAGGCGGGGGATCAGTGACACCCCCAGCCCTCAGCCCTGCCCTGTCCCATCTCTCCCGCAGGCTCCCGGGGTGCCACCGTCGCTCCCTGCCAAGAGCAGCTCCCGGGGCGCGGCTCGGGGGCTGCCCAGCCCCTCCGGCAGCGCGGCAGCCCCCGAGGTCCCCTATGCCCAGGTGCACAAAGAATCCGCCCGCCCCGAGCCCCCCGAGGCCAAGTACCAGCAGCTCATGTGTTTCCACATCTACGCCGAGCCCCGCGAGGAGACGGACCCCAGCCCCTCAAGACACTGCGAGCCCCAGGAGCCCACCCCCGGGGGACACATCCCCGGGGGACCCCCCAGCCCCGAGGAGCCCATCCCCTTCTATGCCATGGCCCGCGGTTGGAGCTCCCGTGCCAGCCCCGAGGAGAACGTCTACTCCGAGGTGGCACTGGCCCGGCAGGATGTGCCTGCCCGGCCCCCCACAGCCCCCCAAAACGCCTTCTCCACGCTGCCCCCCAAAGGCCGGCCCCACCGCCGGCTCCTGCGCAGCGTTTCCAGCCAGGACTGCAGGAGGAGGCAGCTCTCGGCGGCTCCCAGCACGGACAGGAAGGACAGAGGAGCTCCCAGCTCAGGCACACAGGTGAGTGGCTCCCCAAGGCAGGTCGTGGCTCTAGAGCTCAGCCCCAACACGAGTGAAGGCTCCTGGAGGCTGAGGGATGGGGGTTTGCTCCACACCAGGAGCACAAGGAGGCTGGAATGGTTTGGGGTGGAAAGAAGCCAATCCTATTCCACCCCCTGCCAGGGGCAGGGACACGTTCCATGATGCTCCAAGCCCTGTCCAGCCTGGCCTGGAACACTTCCAGGGAAGGGGCAACTACAGCTTCTCTGTGCCAGGCCCTCCTCATCCTCACAGGGAAGAATTCCTTCCCAATATCCACACCAGGAGCACAAGGAAGCTGGAATGGTTTGGGGTGGAAAGAAGCCAATCCTATTCCACCCCCTGCCAGGGGCAGGGACACGTTCCGTGATGCTCCAAGCCCTGTCCAACCTGGCCTGGAACACTTCCAGGGAAGGGGCAACTACAGCTTCTCTGTGCCAGGCCCTCCTCATCCTCACAGGGAAGAATTCCTTCCCAATACCCCAGCTATCCCTCTGGCAGTGGTGAGAAGAATTCCTTCCCAATATCCCATCTATCACTCTGGCAGTGGTGGGAAGAATTCCTTCCCAATATCCCAGCTATCCCTCTGGCAGTGGGAAGAATTCCTTCCCAATATCCCATCCATCCCTGCCCTCTGGCAATGGGAAGAATTCCTTCCCAATATTCCACCTATCACTCTGGCAGTGGTGGGAAGAATTCCTTCCCAATATCCCAGCTATCCCTCTGGCAGTGGGAAGAATTCCTTCCCAATATCCCATCCATCCCTGCCCTCTGGCAATGGGAAGAATTCCTTCCCAATATCCCATCTATCTCTGGCAGTGGGAAGCCATTCCCCCTTTTCCTGTCACTCCAGGTCCTTACAAAAACTGGGTCCTTGTCCCAAAGCCAAGGGCTGGGAGGGTGCAAGACCACCCTTGTGCTGTTTCCTGGCTCTCAAATCCAGCCTGTCCCCGGGAATTCCCAGGTTGCTCTGAAGCCTGAGCTGGAGCTGGATGACCCCGTGTACAGCAGGAGCACACCCAGGGAGCAGCAGCCCATGGCTGAGAACGTGTACGAGCAGCTGCCTGGGGACTGCCCCTGAGCCTCCCAGGCAGGAGGAACCTCAGCCCCCAGCTCACTGCAGGAAGCCCCTGGCCCTGGGAGGAGAGCTCCAAGGCTGCTGTTGGACCCAGCTGGTGATGCCAATCTGCTCCATGGGGAGCTCTTCCAGCTTCCCAGCCCTGTTGGACAGCACAGGAGGGAGCCTCACCTCACCCATGAACACATTCCAAGAGACTTCTGTTAATAAAATGAGGGAGAAAAGCTGTTACAGGAAAAACAGATGAGTTTGGCACAGTTGGTGCACGCAGTAGGATATTAAAATGGCCAGAAACTGGAGTGATGCTACACTGAACCTCCCCAGCCTGCAGCCAACACTCCAAGTCCTGCCTGCTTCCTCAGCCACAAAATTTTGGAGGACACCACTGTCCCAGGGCTGTCCCGTGGGGCACAAACCCTGGTGAGCCACAGTGGAGCTGGGCAGTGTCAGTGGTGCTCCCAGCCCAACAGGAGCAGGGAGCCAGGATGGCCAAAGCCCTGGCTTGGGGGGAAAAGGAGGGTTGGGGAACTGTAGCTGTTTTTATCTCTGGGAAAATTCACTTCTGACCTTTCACAAACATGAATTTTGTTGCTCTTAGAGGGCTGAAAGTGGAACACAAGCCCTTGGAACTTCCCTTGGTGCTAAAGCCAAGGCATTACCCCAATGAGAAATGGAAAGGGGAACCTGGGAGTTCCACCCCCACACTGCAAACTCCCCGGGCCAAGAGGGTACCTGGATGGAGGATCTGACCCCTTGGGATGGAAACAGGGCTGGGTGGGTTCATTTAGAAGTATATTCCTTCAGCAAATCTCTTCTGGGACGATTTCACTGTACATACAAGATATGAATAAATTACTCAACAGTAACTTTATTCTGATCATTCAAATACTCAAAACAGGCTCTGCAAAGTACTAAACATACAGGGAGCTAAACTAAAAATGAGATTAGTTTAAAATGTTTTAAGAAAAGACTTCAGTCATGGGGGTTTGCCTGTTTTTAAGAGGTAACATGGGAGAAAAAACACCTCTTGGGAGTTCTTCTTACCAGAATAACAAATATTGGCCATTTGAGCCAAATAAAACCCAGATTGGTGGGAATATAAGTTAAATAACCAGGCCAGCTCTCTGCTCCCTTCAGCATCACATGCTTTGGTGAACAACAAAGTGATGCCACAGATTTGGATCCATGGATTGGGCCAGCAGAGCTGCACAGGATTTGCAGTCACATCACCTTGACAGAATTCCTTAAATAAAAAAAAAAAAGGTTTGATTTGAAGAAATTAGGGCTGTGCAGTCTCGTCTTCCCAGCCAGGAGGGTAAAGTCAACACTTAATTGAAACAGAATTGATATAAACAAGCTGGAAAAAAAAAATTACAGTTGGCAGCTCTCCTCTGTGTCTGCCCAGAGGAAACTGCAGAGCTCAGTCCCAGCCAGCCACACGTGGGACTCTGGGATACTCACTTGGATGAGTCTGAGAACAGCCTGGGGCAGGACAGGAGCCTTGGGTTGGGGGAGAAGGAAAGAGGAGGAAAAAGGAAGGACCATATACATGCACACATGGCTCAGGGTAACCCAAAGCCCTGAGTGTGCCAGGCAGGAGAAGCTCCCCTCCATGTGTGGTGCTTCCCCTGGCACAGGCTCTGACCTGCACGGGGGTGTCCCCTCAGCACGGCTCAGCCTCTGGAGCCCAGAGCAAAAACACACAATTAAAAATCAGGGTATCAAAATTATTCAAAATTATTGACATGAGAGGAATGCTGGAGCAGTCCAGACACGAGGAAACAGCTGTGAGGACATCTTAAAGGTAAGGACAAAATAAAAATTCCAAAGCCAGGCTTGCTCTTGGAACTCACCGTGTTTTAGAAAGGAAAATGACACTCTCAATGCACAGCAAGTCCAAGAGAGGAGCAAAGTGGGAACTGGGAGTTTATTGAGCCTCTGCTGAAGGGTCAGGAGGCACAGCCTGTTCCCTCAGGACAGGAGCTGCAGCCTCACACCCAGCACGTTCCCCGCGGTGCCTCGGGACCGTCCTTGGCTGACGGGAACCTCCCACGTTATCGTTTACAAGGAGGGAGGGCAAGGATTACAGGTGGAGTTTCAGGACCTGCTTGCAATGACCCTTCTTCCTGCCAGGCCAGGGAGTGCAGTGTCCTCCCAGCCCCATCCTGGGGCCTGGCTGATCTCCAGGAGGCCAGCAGACACCGGACACAGCAGGTCACCCGGGACGCCGGCCAAAGAGCAGGACAGATGTGTCAGAATCCGTACTTGGCTTGAGTCTGCCTTCTGCTCAGCTTGTTTTCAGACCATGTGTTTTTCAGTTCCAGCTCCCTCTCCTTGGCCTGCAGAGATGGAGAGGATGCTGTTACCCTCTGTGTTTCAGTGACTCAGCAGCATTCCTGCCTCCTCTGGCCCCACTCATGTGGATTAGGGAGCCCTTCAGCCAGAAGCCTCGTTACAGGGGTTTGCACAATCATCCTGACAGAGGCCTGCATTAATTGGGATGCACAGGCATTTCATTCATGCTGAAAAGCAGCTTCTCGTGGGGACGGGCTGAGCAGCCAACCCCGGGGCAGAATCCAGGACAGGATCCCAGGCCCTCAGAACGTGCAGGAAGGGCAAAGCAAAGCTGAAAGCTCAGGACTGGGACCCCCTCAGGGCCAGGACTCACCTCTGGCCTCACTGGCTCTCACCAGGGCTCAGGGGCTTCCCCTGGTCCCCAGCTCCAGCACCCCAGCCTTGTGTTGCCCTGCAGTTCTGCCTGGCTCAGCTCACACACCACAGGGAGGCCACTCACCTGATGGATCAGGTATGTGATCTGGTGTTTTCTCCTCTGCTGTCCTGTGGGCTGATCTCCTTTTTTCTGGAAAGCAGAAAGAGATGAAGTGTTCAGCCTAGAGAGGTGCTTCCCTGGACAGCAAACCAAGACAAGGGCCTGCACACAGCCACCCCAAGCAGCATTTGTTCCCTATTAAACTGCAGATTCCTTTGGCTGAAGCACTTCCTGGCTGGTCCTCCGCAGCCACATGTGTGTTCTGAGGAACTCTACTGATCTCTCCCATGTCATTATTTACCCTGCCCAGCACCCAACACAGCTCCAGATGGGCACTGAGAGAGGAGAGGCTCCAGCCACAGCCCTCAGCCTCCACCCACCTTGCTGAATGACTTCATGGTCTTCTCCTCTGTCAGGGATTTGGTCAGCCACTGCTGGGCCCCGCTCAGCTGGTCGTCACCTTTGATGTCCACAAAGTTGATCTCTTCCCTCCCACGATTCCTCTTGCCCTGCAGACGTTTGAACTGAAGGAAGAACAGAAGAGCTGCAATTACACCCAGCACTGACCTGACACAAGGCACAGCAAACAGTTTTCCAGCTGGGGTTTTGATCGTTTGGAGAATTTCAGCGTGCTGTACATGAGAGTATCTAAAACTACTTAGCATGAAGGTTATAATTTCATTTTCCTGCGTATCAAATAGCATTTACTGCTGCTTGCAGGCAGTGCTCATCCCCTGTGCTGGCATTGCTGAGGCACCTCCAATCCTAGGGTCACTTTGGGGCCCCTCATGACAAGAAAGAGATTGAGGAGCTGGAGCATGTCCAGAGAAGCAAACAAAGCTGAGGAAGGGGCTGGAGCACCAGGGGAGGCTGAGGGGGCTCAGCCTGGAGAAAAGGAAGTTCAGGGGGACCTTCTGGCTCTGCACAACTCCCTGCCAGGAGGAGACAGCCAGTGAGCTCTGCTCCCAGGGAACAGGGACAGGACAAGAGAAAATGGCTTCAAGTTGTTTCAAGGGAAGATGAGGTTGGATATAGGGAAAATTCCTACACCCAGAGGGTTGTCCAGCCCTGGCACAGGCTGCAGTGGTGAAGTCCCCACCCCCAGAAGGATTTAAAAGCCACATGGATGTGGCACTTGGGGACATGGTTTAGTGGTGGCCTTGGCAGTGCTGGCTGATGGTCTTGGAGGCCTTTTCCAAGCTCAACAATTGATTCTATTCTGTGAATAGCCACTCACTTATCAGGCCTGCAGACCCAGCTGGAGCAGGAGCCCACAACACAGCACGAGGCCCCACAGAAGAACCACCCAGCCCAAACCCCTGGAAACCCAGGCTGTGCTGGGGGGCAGGAGCGTGGCTGCCAAGAGGCTCCTGTGTTCTGGCAGAGCTCAAAGCCAAATTCCACAGGGGGACAGACAATCAAGTGCCAACCGCTTCATCGTCGATGAAGGAGGAGTCGGTGCTGGTCTCCTGGGGCGAGGCCTGGGCTGGTTCCACCTCGGGGTAGTACCCACTGCTGTAGTAATCCTGGCAAGGAAAAGGAAACCAGTTTGGCATGAGAGCAATCCTGGAGTGGTACTGAGATACAGAGTGCCCTGTGGGCTGATTCCATCAGAGGGACAAACCAACAAACGCTCTGAGGGGCTTCTCACAAGGGTCTGGAGTGACAGGACAGGGGAATGGCTTCCCACTGACCAAGAGCAGGGTTAGATGGGATATTGGGAAGGAATTGCTCCCTGTGAGGGTGGTGAGGCCCTGACACAGGGCGCCCAGAGAAGCTGTGGCTGCCTCATCCCTTGACGTGGTCAATGCCAGGTTGGACAGGGCTTGGAACAACCTGGGATTGTGGAAGGTGTCCCTGCCCATGGCAGGGGCTGGGACTGGAAGGGCTTTAAGATCCTTTCCAACCCAAACCAGTCTGGGATTCTATTTACTAGAATTCTGTTTCTTAGAATTATTAGAAACAACCAGAGCTCAGATACCAGCTCCAGTGAGCCCTGACTCTGCACCCTCACATCCAGGGCATTTTCACATGAGTGCAGCTGTCAAACATCTGTCCAGCAAAGAACATCTGCAGCTCTCACATTGTAGGAATCCGCTTGTGCCCAGTGCTGTGGCTCCCTGTGCCAGATAGCTTGGGGTGCATTCCCAAGTCCCAGGTATCTCACACAGGCTGCATTCCCTGCCCTGTGCCCCAGACAGCTCACACAGGCTGCATTCCCTGCCCCATGTCCCAGGTATCTCACACAGGCTGCATTCCCTGCCCTGTGCCCCAGACAGCTCACACAGGCTGCATTCCCTGCCCCATGTCCCAGGTATCTCACACAGGCTGCATTCCCTGCCCTGTGCCCCAGGTATCTCACAAAGGCTGGATTCTCTGCCCTGTGCCCCAGGCAGCTCACACAGGCTGGATTCTATGCCCAGGCACCTCACACAGGTTGCATTCCCTGCCCTGTGTCCCAGGTATCTCACACAGGCTGGATTCCATGCCCAGGCACCTCACACAGGCTGCATTCCCTGCCCTGTGCCCCAGGCAGCTCACACAGGCTGAATTACCTGCCTGTTGTCCCATGTATCTCACACAGCTGGATTACCTGCCCCATACCCCAGATATCTCACACAGGCTGCATTCCCTGTGTGAGGGAATACCCAGGCACCTCACAAAGGCTGCACTCCCAGCAGCAGCCAGTCACCAACTCGAGCCTCTCACTCAACCACCTGCTCAGAGCCCCTCCCTACCCCTGGCCAGCAAACCCACCTGGTAGCAGCCCCCTGTCCCACATCCCAGGTATCTCACACAGGCTGGATTTCCTGCCCTGTGTCCCAGGCACCTCACACAGGCTGCACTCCCAGCAGCAGCCAGTCACCAACTCGAGCCTCTCACTCAAGCACCTGCTCAGAACCCCTCCCTACCCTGGCCAGCAAACCCACCTGGTAGTAGCCCCCAGGCTCGCCGTAGGCGGGGGGGAACTGCCCATAGGGCTGGCTGCTGTAGTCCTCCCCAGCTTTGGGTGCCCAGCTGTGCTGAACTCCACTGGAGCCCACGCCTGTCTTGAACTCCAGAGGGGCGTTAGCGGCCGCGTCCTGGAACTGCGGCTCCGGCTCCGTCCCGGGAGGAGGGTCCTCCGACCCCGCCGTGCCCGGGTACAGGTAGGGCTCGGTGCCCACGGCGCTGGGCTCGCTCCTGTCGGACAAGGAGAAGTAGTTCTCTGGCTGCACCTCCTCGTCGCTGTCCTCCTCCTCCTGGGTGATCTGCTTGGTTACCTGCAGCGCCGCGCTCTTGGCCGCGGCTTTGATGGCCGACGGGGACGGAGTTGTGGGCACGGCCGGCTTGGGAACGGGTTTGGATTTGGAGGAAGAGCTCGGGGTCTTGGCAGGCTTGGACTCGGAGGAGTTTTCTCCTGCTTTCCTCGAGAAGGAGTAGGGCAGGAGTAAGCGATTGGTCTCTTTCACTGTCATGTTTTTGGGCTCAGGAAGCAAAGCGGACAAGCCGGAGCCTTCGCTGCGTCCCTGGTGATGTCCACGCAGGACAAATGGATCACAGAAAGGAAAGAGGGAGATTATTCACTTTTCCTGACTTCCTCCCAATTATCCCCCCAGTTCTAACACTTCTGGTGATGTCCACGCAGGACAAAAGGATCCCAGAAAGATAGGAGGGAGATTATTCCCTTTTCATGACTTCCTCACAATTATCCCCCCAGTTCTAACACTTCTGGTGATGTCCACGCAGGACAAAAGGATCCCAGAAAGATAGGAGGGAGATTATTCCCTTTTCATGACTTCCTCACAATTATCCCCCCAGTTCTAACACTTCCCCTGGGTTTCTCGCCACTTGGCCACTCTGCACTGCATAAAAAGCCAGGGGGTTTTGAAGGGATATGTGAATGCTGCAAGGATCTGCCCAATTCCCAAATTAATGCCTCTTTCACCAAGACTTAAATTGGTGAAATTGCCCAAAAGAAAGGACTTGAAAGCCCACAGGATTTCAGGAATATCCCTAAAGCCATAAGGTGATCAGAGTGGACAAATGGATCCCAGAAAGAAAAGAGGGAGATTATTCACTTTTCATGGCTTCCTCACAATTATCCCCCCAGTTCTAACACTTCCCCTGGGTTTCTCACCACTTGGCCACTCTGCACTGCATAAAAAGCCAGGAGGATTTTGAAGGGAGGTGTGGTACTTGCAAATATCTGCCCAATTCCCAAATTAATGCCTCCTTAGCCAAGATTTAAATTGGTAAAAGTGCCCTAAAGCAAGTGTGGGAATTCTTAAAATCAGAAAGATTTAGGAAAGATGTAAAAGGTAGGGCACTATTTTTATGTTTTATTCCTGGGGGCAAAAAATTTGTTTATTTCAGTGTTTTATTAGTGGGGGACAATAAAAAGGATTTGAAAACCCATGGGATTTTAGGAATATCCCTAAAGCCACGAGGTGATCAGAGTGAATGATTTACACAAGTGAAAGCCCAAGAGTCAAACACTTTTCCCCACGAAAATTGTTTAACCAAGTGCCCTTGTTATTTACCTGAAGAGGATTTCTTTTCTTTGCTGGTTCATCTTCCTCTGAATCTGACTGAGAGAGAAAACCAGAGCTCAGCACAACCTGAGACGCCGAACTAAAAAAATTATGTTAATAAATCCCAGGAAAATAAACCCAAAGGGAGGGAAGAACTGCAGGAGCACAGCAACAGGTCAGGGACAGACAACAACAGAGTTACTGGAGGGGAAGCACAAATCACACAAAGGATGTCAAGTTCACTGCAGGGATACAGAGAATTGCTCCCAATAATGCTGAAATTGCTAAATACCTGGTTAAAACTTGTTTACTTGTTAATTGTTAAAACTTGTTAATTGCTAAATACCTGGTTAAAACTTGTGTGGAAAGCCTGTGCGGCATCAGAAAAGATATCTTTACAATTTCATGGCTCCTCAGAGAACTTGAAGAGGCAACAGGGATTGAGGGCTTGTGCCAGTTTGCCTCCAAATCATAAACCAGGGAAAGACAAGGAAAGTGCATAAATAAAGAGAGCTGGGAGTGACTGTAAAGCCACGTGTTGGTTCGGGAGAGAGGAGGAGTTCATCTCCAGGGGATGAACTGCAGCCATGGCAGGGATTTTAAGGAGAAACGGGGAACAACTGAGGACGTCAGCCACAGGCCAAGGGACCTCCAGGAATCCCAGGTGGGAACTGCTCCCACCAGCTCCAGTTCAAGGTACTTCTTGTCCCTTCCAAATTAATCTGCTCAACACTGAGAACCTGCAGATTGTGTGGTCAGAGGCCACAGAGCAGAGCACAGAGAAGGGTGAGGCAGGAACATGATCCCTGTTCATTCCAGTTCTCTGGAATCCCAGCACTGCTGCAAGGAGGTGAACAAAAATCACCTGTGAGGGACTGGGATATCCCTCATCCCTCTGTCCCAAAGGCTGAACCTCCAGAGCTCTGGGGCTGCAATTGCAACACTGGGAAGGTTATTGGGAGCAGGAAGGGATGGGGGACCTGTGTCCTCTCCCCCTCTGTAGGAAGTGTACCCTGTTGATGGAGTGACCAGGTTATCCTTTGTCTCCTTAAAAAGGAAAAAAGCCCAGAAGTTTCTCTCCTCAACTGGGTAAAAAGACACCTCATAAGACCAGGGGGGAATTCACCTCAAATTTAAGGATAGCCAACTGGACAGGAACCAAAAAGTCCTGCCTAAGCAGTTTACTAGAAAAAGAAGAGAACAAAGGAACTAATCACTTTTGTGAGGTGTTTTAGAAGGAGCAAGAACCTTTTTCTCCTGGCTCGGTTTTTCTCTGTAAAGAGTTTTGGCTTTTGCCTTTTCCAACACCACCACAGAAGCCATCCTGCTGGTTTTATGCCTTCTAAGGTAGCTATTTTGGCTGTGATATAAATCTCCAGGAGCTTTTAAGACCTGGCTCGAGAAGACCCATATATCACCCCCCCCAGACACAGCACTGACTTCATCTGGGCTCCCCCAAAGTGCTGCCAGGCCACTACGAATGGACATTGTTTATAAATCCACCTGTCCCCACGGAAATGACCCCAAGCCTCTAGTTCAGCTCTTCCCACAGCCACAGGCACCCCTGTCACACCAAAACCAGTGACACGACCATCACCTCCACATGGCAACAGCCCAGGCTGGGGCAACCTGGTCTAGTGGAAGGTGTCCCTGTCTGTGGGCACTGTGGAACAGGATGGGTTTGAAGGGTCTCTTCCAACCCAAACCACTCCAGGACTCCAGGTGCTGGTTTAAATATTAGGAAAAATTTATTCTGTGAAGGTGGGGATGCCCTGGCACAGGGTGCACAGAGAAGCTGCGGATGCCCCTGCATCCCTGGAAGTGTTCCAGGCCAGGCTGGACAGGGCTTGGAGTAACCTGGGATAGTGGAAAGTGACCCTGCCCGTGGCTCTTGAGTGGAGCAAGATGGGCATGAAGGTCCTTGCCAACCCAAACCATTCCATGATTCTGTGACAGTGCTGTTCCAGGGGAAATGAGCAGTGGGGAGAGGATGAAACCTCATCAGGAGGCATCCCGACTAAAAACCAGACGGAAAGGGACCTGCCTTTCCCTGCTCTCGCTGTCTGGGATTACAAGCCCTGCAAGGCACAGCAATTACAAAAAAAACCCTCAGAAATTAGAGGGAAATCGTCACCTAAAAGTTTGAAAGACGCCTGAAGCCTTTAGACAAATAAGCAATAAACTGACTGAAAAATCCATCACCTGCACAGGAAACAAAAGATGGTTTTGGGCTACAACGCCCTGCAGCTCCACATCATCAACTCGTTAACTCCAGGAATAAGAAGGGTGCAGATAATCTGGGTTTGGCTGCATTATGATTATAAATAAGGTTTCTATATCAGTTTAATTCTGCAAAGCGCTTTAGCATTAGGGCAGGCAGCCAGGACAAATCTCCCTGCGCTTGACACAATAGCTCCCGGTACCTCGGGAGGGGAGAGACCCGCGGGGGGAAGGAAGTTTCACCCCCGAGAAGGGAAGGGGCCGAGCAGGGCTCTTGTTCCATACTCACATCCCCCTTGTGCAGCTCGGGCGCCGCGATCCGCACCGGCTCCGTCCTCTTCTTTGGCTTGGGGAGGCCCAAACCCGCCCCGGGGGAGGCAGCGGGGGGCGGGCTGAGGGGGGAGGCGGCGGTGGCCGCGTTCCTGGGGGGCGGCAGCAGGAGCCCCCTCGGCCGGGGGGACTCTGTGGCCCCGTCCCCGCTGGCAGCCGGCTCCGAGGGGCTCTCGGTCCCGGCCTGGCCCGGCGCGGCGCCGCCGAAGCCGCTCAGGGTGGGCGGGGGGCCCATGAGGAACGCCGGGGGCACCGCGGGGGCTCTGGGCGGGGGCAGCGCGGCGAAAAGCCCCCGGGATGAGGGCTGCTCGGCTGCGGCTGGGGGAGAGTCGGCGGCTTCCTCCTCTTCGCCCGCAGGCTCCTCGGCATCGCTGTCCTCCTCGCTGCTGGCGTAGGCCACGAGGGACATGGCCCCGGGGAGGGCGGCCCTTGGCGGGCAGCAGCCGCTACGCGAGGCCGGGGATCCACCCTCCGCGCTAGGCCGCGCCGCCGCCGCGCCTTCAGCGGCCGCAGCGGGGGAAGAAAGGGCGGGCGGGGGCGAGGCTACGCCGCCATGGCGGCCCCTCCCCGTGCGGCGGCGGGGCCGCGGAGCGAGGCAAGGCGACGGCGGCGGCTCCGCGCTCCCGGTAATGGCTGCCGGCAGCGCCCCGCTGCCCGCCCTGCAGCCGCGCAGGACTACAACTCCCGGCGTGCTCTGCGAGCAGCGCCGTGCCCGCCTCCTTGTGTGCCCCGCCGCGAGGCACCACGGGAAATGTAGTCTGCGGTGCCACGCGGCGGGACCCCCGGGAGGGAGCGGGACAAGGCCCGGGCACAGCGGGGATGCGGCAAGGCCGCTGGGGACGGGTGAGGGGATGAGAATGGAGATGAGGAGGCAGAAGGACCCAACCCAACCCCTCCAGAGCACTCGATTCATTGCCAAACACAGCCCCGAGCTGCGACCGCGGCTCCCGGCGTGTTCCCGGTGCAGTGACACCGAGCGGGGCCTGCGGGCTCTGCCTGCCTTCCATCCTCTCCTCCTGGCATGGTTTGGGGGAGGATCGGAGCTGCCAGCCCCAGCAGGAGCTGCTGGGCCGGAACGCGGGAGGCCTGGCAGGGAGCCGGCTTCTCCTCCCTGCGCTTCGCTGATTTTTGGTTTGACGCCTTTGGCCTCCTTCTGGCTCGTTCTGGCCTTAATAAAGCGGCTGGAATTTGGGTTCCCGACAGCGGGGAAGTGCAGAGCTGCTGTGAGGTACCAGCACAAGTAATTAAAGCAAAATGCAGGTAAATGAGGAGAGTATCCTGAACCCTGTGCGGTTTGGAGCGGTGTGAAATCCAGCGTGCCCCGTGCCAGCTCTGCAGGGCTGGGGAGTGTTAAAAATACAGCTTTAAAAATAGGCACCGAGGCCTCGGGGAGCGCCAGGAGCATTCCAGGAGCTGGGGCACACCAGTTCCGTTTTCCCCCATGTGAAAAATGCGTGGTTTATGATTGGCTTTTCGCAAAAATTAAAATAAATGTTGCATATGTTATGAAATTGCGCTGTATTCGTTTTCTTAAGTAGTGTGTTAAATGTAGTTTTAAGTTATAACATAGAAACTGTGCTATGTAAGATACTTTATTAAAGAGAAAAATAAAGTACGCACACCAAAATAACGGCCACATAACACCTAAATCTTTAAAATAAAATAAAAATAAAGAATTTATTGCTCCCTTATCAGAAAAAACTAACTTCTTCCTACCTTGCTCAGCCCTAAAAACACCGTCAAGATTAAGAAGTTAACACTGACCAAACAAAATCCTTTGTTTAAATAGAATTTATACATTATGTACAAAACGTATGAATATGCAACAAACAGTTATTTTAAAAGTTAATCATCTGTTAACGTGGATCCATTTTCGGGCTTATTTTACCCAGAAAGAGATACCTGAACCGTCCATAACTCTTTATTGTCTATTATCCTAACCCTAATTGTGCAATTTTTTATTACTGTAATCTCATTACTATAACAATTTTACAACTATTAAACTTTTAAAATTTTCAAAACAAGTTATTGGCATTTTTCACAAGAAGAAGTTAACACTGACCAAACAAACTCCTTTGTTTAAATAGAATTTATCCATCATGTACAAAATGTATGAATATGCAATTAACTTTTTAAAGTTAATCCTCTGTTAACGTGTCTCCTTTTTCAGGCTTATTTTACCCAGAAAAAGGTACCTGGACTGTCTGTAACTCTTTATTGTCTCATTATCTGAATGCTAAATGTCCAAATTATTATTACTCTAATTTCATTACTATTTTTATAACCTTTTTTATCGTTTTTAACCCATTTAACCCTAACCCTCTCTGATCCTGAACCCCAAGCCCCAAGAAAATAAATATAGGGGGGACAGGCGTCCCAAATAGTAAGAAAAGACCATCTGCTTAAAACTAAATAATACATTCTTTAAAAAAACCCTAAAAAATAGTTTAAATCCATAGACAGTAGTAAAAACACTAGACATAAAAAAAATTCACCATAACAAATTTCTCTTCAAACAACTACCACATATAACATAAAAACACAAAAAATTCTGTTTCCTAGAGAAACTCATAGTACAAAAAAAAACTCCTTTCTCCTAATAAACTAGAAAGAACTTGTGTAAAAAAAAATATTAGACTGAAAATTGAGTACTAAAGAAAATTTGAATATTAAAAAAGTAGGGAGAAGAAGAGTGTTTTAAAAATATTCCATTATAGATTGCTATATGTGTTTTCTTTCTTTTTTTTCCCCCTTTTTATAGCTAGATAAATTAATAAAGTGTTATTTTTCCCCCTCCATTCCCAAATTAAAACCTGCTTTATTCTATTTCCAAGTCACATCTCACAGTAACCATTTTAAAAACCCACCTTTCATAAAAACACTGACCCTCCACCAAAATCAATCCATGACAATTTTATAACTATTAAACTTTTAAAATTTGAAACCCAAGCGATCAGCTTTTTTTCACAAACCCTTGTTTCCCTTTGTCCATTTTCCCCTAGCAGGTGGAGATTCCTGGATTCCCAGAACATCAGTAGGATCCTGCTCTCAGCCCTGACCCTGTGGACTATTTATTTGTATTATTACTTATTTATTTGTATTATTTGCAGCTCGTTAGGAGAAATTAAGCCAAAGAAAGCACGAGGGGATGGAAAGAAAAGAGCCCAGCCCAGGAACCCCGACTGCCAGGTCAGGGTGGAGGTTCTGCTTTCACAAACGACTTCATCTGGGTTTAATCCCAGGTTTGGTTGGGACAGCAGCACCCAAAAGGTGACAATTTATTGAAGGTGACCGTTTATTTATTGAAGGCAACAATTTATTTAAGGTGACAATTTATTTCATCCCCTGCTGGCTTTGTCACCCTGTACCCCCAAGCTGAGGCTGGCTAGGGCCCAAACCTCCTCCCCAGGCATCCAGAGATTTTTCCAGAGGTTTTCCAGAGATTTTCACGTGCCCTGAGCAAAAAAAAAACTCCAGCCCAGGCTCTGCTGTTTCTAAAGAAAAATTCATTTTTCTGCTGGGGGTGAACGAGGGGACCCCGTGTGGGCACCAAATCCTTGATTTTCCCTCTTTCCAAAGGCTCTCCTCTCAAGTGTCCATCTGCAGCCAGGATGTGGGATTTTAGGGATGCTGCTACACTGGGTTTACATGTTTTTATGTTGGTTTTGCACTGCTTTACACGGTTTCACCATGTATGTTGCTGTATGGCAAATTTGACACAGCTTTACACAGGTTTTGCACTGTCTCACAGTATTGCATTGGTCTAAAAACAGTTTTGCACTGTTTTATAAATCTTTCTGCCAATTTTGCTCCGTTTTACACGATTTTGCCCCAGTTTGGCACTGTTTTACCTGCTTTTTACACCATTTTGGTGCTGTTTTACACTGGTTATTTACAGTATTTTACATGGTTTCACCATTTATGTTGTTGTACAGCAAATTTGACACAGCTTTACACCCGTTTTGTACTGTCTCACATATCTTTTGCACTGTTTTGCATGGATCTAAAAACAGTTTTGCACTGTTTTATAAATCTTTCTGCCAATTTTGCTCCGTTTTACACGATTTTGCCCCAGTTTGGCACTGTTTTACCTGCTTTTTACACCATTTTGGTGCTGTTTTACACTGGTTATTTACAGTATTTTACATGGTTTCACCATTTATGTTGTTGTACAGCAAATTTGACACAGCTTTACACCCGTTTTGTACTGTCTCACATATCTTTTGCACTGTTTTGCATGGATCTAAAACCAGTTTTGTAATGTTTTATATATCTTTATGCCAGTTTTGCACTGTTTTACACCATTTTGCCCCAGTTTGGCACTGTTTTACATGCTTTTTACACCATTTTGGTGCTGTTTTACACTGGTTATTTACAGTGTTTTACACGGTTTCACCATGTATGTTGTTGCACAGCAAATTTGACAGAGCTTTACACCGGTTTTGTACTGTCTCACATAGCTTTTGCACTGTTTTGCATTGATCTAAAACCAGTTTTGTAATGTTTTATATATCTTTATGCCAATTTTGCACTGTTTAACACCATTTTATGCCAGTTTTGCACTGTTTTACATGATTTTGCCCCAGTTTGGCACCGTTTTACCTGCTTTTTACACCATTTTGGTGCTGTTTTACACTGGTTATTTACAGTGTTTTACACGGTTTCACCATGTATGCTGTTGTACAGCAAATTTGACACAGCTTTACACCGGTTTTGTACTGTCTCACATATCTTTTGCACTGTTTTACACTGATCTAAAACCAGGTTTGCACTGTTTTATATATCTTTATGCCAGTTTTGCACTGTTTTACACCATTTTATGCCAGTTTTGCCCTGTTTTACAGGGGTTTGCACTATTTTGGTGCTGTTTTATGCTGGCTATGAAATGTTTTACAACCGTTTTTCATGGTTTCACATTATGGTTTTGCACTGTTTTACGTTTTTACACATCTTTATGCCAATTTTGCACTGTTTTACAGGGGTTTGCACCATTTTGGTGCTGTTTTACACTGGTTATTTACAGTGTTTTACATCTGTTTTTCACATTATAGTTTTGCACTGTTTTACATGGGTTTCACACCATTTTTGCATGGGTTTAAAACCACTTTTGCACTATTTTACATGTTTTCGACACCATTTTGCTGCTCTTTTACACCGGTTATTTGCACTGGTTATTTGCAGTGTTTTACACCTGTTTTTCACAGTATAGTTTTCCACTGTTTTACATGGTTTTTACACCATTTTTACATGGGTTTGAAACAGTTTTTGCACTGTTTTACATGTTTTTTACAGCATTTTGGTGCTGTTTTACGCTGGTTATTGACAGTACTTTAACACTGTTTTACACCTCCTTTCCGCATTACGGTTTTGCACTGCTTTACACGTTTTCTACACCATTTTTGTGCTGTTTTACCCTCCTTTCGCACGGCTTTCCGCCCCTTTCCCTCTATTTTACATCCATTTTTCCCTCTTTAACACCCCATTTACACCGAGCCCATGGCCCTGTCCCCTCGTGGCATCCCCAGGGCCACCTACAGCCTGGGCTCACACCAAAACAACGGCCGCAAAACACATTTTTGGGGGTTTTTTGTTTTTTTTTTTTTTTTTGTGGGGGTGCCGGGTGCGCGCACGGCGCCGTGGGCGGGCGGTGCGTGTGCGCGCCCAGGCATCGCCC